TTTACAGGGAATCAAATGTAGTACGGGTAAGTGATTAGGCAACATACATGGTTTCAAGTATAATAGAAATGATTGCCTAGGAAATTTTAAGGGATTGAAATTTAATACGGACCCTTCAATAATGAAATTTACAATGATTTTCTATTTTCGTTAACTAACAAGAGTATCGGTTCACCGTAGAACATGTGCATTATATTAAACAATTGTTTTCGCTGTATTTGCAATATAGCATAAACCATATAGAATTAATTATTAAAAGATAGGCGAAAAATACCTTAAGGACATTCAACTTACAAGTCACAATAAACTGACAACGCCTTAGCAATAAAAGAAAAAAAAAAGAAGTCAAATATATATATAACAGTTCACAAACGTAATATAGAAAACTAATGACTGAGCAACACGAACCCCACCATTATTATTTTGCTTTTTCAAACTAGTCTCATCCTTCTCGTTGAAGATATTGAGACGACAGGTCATAAGACCCTATGATTATTACTTGCAAGCAGTATCGCGACATAACATGTAATTATCAATCCATTATCTGTTTGTCATCAATATCTGGGGTTATATTCCATTCTTTCGACATTCTAGTATCGTTAATCAAAAATACAGTGCCAACGTCATACATTCATTCAATATAGGCCGTCCTTCCATGCATCAAATCTCTTTATATGTATTGTAGAAATTCGATCTCGCATAATTTGTTTAATCTTAACATTTTGTCATTGAAATCAATTTGACAGTTGCATGCCGTTAGAAATATGAGACGAAAAGAAATTTATCAAAATCAGTTTGATATGAGAATGTGAAATTTCACGTCATTTAAATTTTGAAATAGTCTAGATCTGTATAGCTGAAGTTCTCTGTCCTATAAACAATTGTAGCAGAATGGAGTTAGATTTCCCGATTTTTTTATTTTAATAGAAATCAAATAAAAATGTACAAGGAACATCAACAGTTCAGAAAAAGTACTTTACACTTTCATGACTTTTTAACCGGTGTAATAAACAACAAAAACATAGGTACACGTTTTTGCATGGCTGCTAGTGTTTGAATTTCGAAAGGCCGGCATATTTCATAAATAAAAATTACAAAACTTTTGTTTATTAAAGATATATCTTTGCTTTCAGATGTCTTCTTTATAATGTGTGTGTTGTTGGGATGCTGTGGCATCGACGTATACCTCACATTATGTTCTACATGTAGAGGGTGTGAATGAGGCTTACAAAATAGAAAATAAAAAGCAAAAGGTGCAGAATAAAGGGGAAATAAAACATAGAAAGAAAATTGAAAAATATATAATAATCGGATGCTAAATTTTAATGAATTGAGAAATAATTCATTCGTGTCGTGCTCTATCATGTCTATGCTCGTTTTAATATGGGTAGGCATTATATTTGTCGCTATTTTGCACTTAGCGTTAGCGAGGTGTCAACAATGGTAAATTATTTCGATTCTAATAGGAAAAACACAGTATTTTTGTAGGTCAAAGCGTACGAAAATGCCGTATACATGTTCTGTTGTTCCTGTTTCCTCCCATGGTGTATGTACATTGGATTCTCATATTCAACATATTCAATAAGTTTAAAAACAAATTACAGGGTGGATACATATGTTGCTTGATACATAGTATAGAATTAAAGTTAAGAGAAGTAGCAATAATGTATACTTCATCTGGATAACAATTAAAATATCGAGAATGTAATCAGTAAGTTTGTGCGCATGCGTCAAACATATATTGTGTTAATAAGAACACGGCTTTGCGTAAAAAGCTTAATACCGACGTCGTATTAGAATAGAGCATAGAGAATAATGGACAAAAATAAATAAGCAATAGAAAAAAAGCATGAAAATTTAAGGATAACAGAAAAAAAGGGATTTTATGAAGTAAAATATAATTTGGTGTCTTAAAACCGGAATCCAATCAATGAATCCAATTGATATGTACATGCATTATACATATTCTTGCGTCTGCTAAGATGCCTCCTAAATGTTTCATTATATTATTGCAACCATTTTCATACATTTGTATACAACACCTGAAATCCATGCCTTTTTTTCGCATCTGATTTTTTATCCTTATAGTTGTGAAAGTATTCTAAATCAGAGGAACTGTATCATAACTGCAAGTGTAATGTATATTTGAATTACTTATAGTTACTTATGTGATCAATTTTTATGAACAGGTAGTTTAAACATGTTTACTGGTGAGAATAATTTGTAACACGAGTATTCATTACTTGAAACTCATTGTATGCAAGTTTACACTTCGCATCGATTTTGGTGAATACAGCCTAACATTGTCGAGTAAATTCAGTTTACGTTCTTATTTTAATCTTCGTCAATTAATTTTATATCTTATGAACATAATACAACGGTATTTATAGATTATCGTTGATCATCTCAACGAGATTGATTTTCTCGCTTGATCCGGTACGGCGAAAGCGAGAAAAGCAATCGAGTTGAGATGACCAATGATAATCTGTTTATCGCTATTTTACCTATGACGAAGTTGTCAATTTCATGTCAATTTCATAAGCAACGGCACGTGCCCCGTTAGTTTCTAGCGATAATTTTCATATCACTCGACTACGCTGAGAAAGGAAAATATCAGTCTGAAGGATCAAACGAAATTTTCGTAAGATAGCGATAAGTACAATTTATCAATTTTAAGCCAAACTGCACGATGAAAAAACGCTGTATCAAATAAACAGAAATATTGTAAGTGTTTGTAGAAATGCGGAAGTTGGTAAAAACTAAGAAATGCAAGTTTGACTTGATGTCGTTTTTTCAACAATTACGTTAACATCTGTTATTGGTCCGAAATCTCTTAAAAGTAGACACGTAGGTGTTATCAGAGTAAATTTGAAGGACAGTGTCTAAATTAGAATTCGTAAGTACAGAAAGAACGAAGACCTAATATAATCTTGCTGTTGATTCTTTAGACTTTTTACAATCTATTATAATTCTTTTTAAAAAAGGGGGTGTATCGGTAGTACTTTAAGATAGTTAGTTCACCTAATGATAATGAAATTTATCCACTTGATTTGTGAGCTCTAGTCTGATAGCAAACTGTACACAGAGATACTTTATTGGTCAAAATTGATTTTAGATAATCTAGTAGTTTGTGGAAGTAGTTTACACACAAAAAGAAAACAAAAAAAAACAATAAACCAGTCAAAAATGAAAGAAAAAATATTAACATTTTGCTAAAAATTAGATTGAAGGTCACACAATTTATTTTAGATGAGAAGGCGCATCGATTTTACCTGTAACCTTATTGATTAGTACATGTCCTGAAATAAGTACATGTATTATCACATGAGTAGTGCATACAGGTCCGATAACACTCTTAACACAAATATATATAGATAACAAGCTGAACAATATTTGTTTATAATTTGAAGGTATAGACTAGAGGGGAAAAAACGAATCAAATCCAAAAAACTTAAGGTAAGTAAAAGTTACCAAAAAAATTGTTTTGTGATCTTGAATCGAATAACCATAGAGATAAAATAGTATCACATTGACATAACCTGAAACACCTATCGTATACCGTAGTCTGTCAACACTGCGTACTATAACTCAAATTTTCTCAATCAACTCCAATGAATGTTTCACACGTTTAAATTAAAAATAGAAACACGTGTTCCATTTTGATTTGATTAATGTTTGGTTGTGTCGTTTTAGAGGTGAGGGGCTTGAACCTTCAGATTTCCGACAAATTTCTTCTTTTCGCACAATAATCATGATAAATCAAAACAATACAATACTGCATAGATCAATTGATAAAAGAAATCTTCCTTTCATTTTTTTCTGGTTTAAATTTGTCATCCAAACGGTACAGGATTGAGCTATCAGATTTACGTTATGTTTGCCTTATTGAGCATGCGTTTATTGATTTGCTAGAAACTTTCCATAATGGCTGAAGGTGTTATACCACATATCACAGTGCATCACATCCAGTTGCGTCCGAAAAAAGTGTCGAATTAATATTCTCTTGAATTTGACAGTTGTAAGAAATTATTCCTACATTGCATTGCAGTAAGCGTCTTTTCTTTTTACAATTACGTTAACATTTTTTATTGGTCCGAATACCCTTAAACATCACACTAAGAGTTATTTGAAGGACAATGTCTTAATTACAATTTCTAAGTACAGAAAGAACGTAGACTTATTATAATTTTCCTGTTGATTCTGTAGACTTTTTACAATTTATTATAATTTTCATCAAAAAGAGGGTGTATCGGTATTACTTTTAGATAGTTAGTTCACCTATTGAAAATTCCCATGATTCAATTTTGATTTGATAAATGTTTGGTTGTGTCGTTTTAGAGCTGAGGGGCTTGAACCCTCAGATTTACGACAACTGTCCTCTTATCGTAAACAAAATCAAACAATACACTACTGCATAGGCCAATTGATAAAATGAATCTCCCTATCATTTTTTTACTGGTTTGCCATTCCAGCGGGACATTATTTTGTCATCTGCTCGACATCAATATATTTTTCCCATAAAATTTGGGATCAATTTATTTCTTTAAGTAAAAAACCAGAACCCTCTTTTTCAGTTAAATAGTCAATCCCTTGGTGTATTGATATGGATAGTAATTCACTGGAATTGTTTGAAAAATATAGTTATCGATGCTTACATAAATATTTTACTTATAAAGACAGGAAATATGTCTATGAAACAAAAAGTTTAAATCAAACTGAAATTTAAAGTGCCCATGAACTGACTTATCATGCACAAGTGGTTTTATTCATAAAAAGTGTCCGTGTAACAAATAAAAAGTGTGCGTGTATCAGCCAAAAAGTTGCTGTGTAACACCCGTTAATGTACTGTTTTTATAACTCTTCTGGGGGCAAAAGTCGTACAAATGTGATATAGCTAAGTATTTTAAAGTATCGGCTATTTTATTATTCTGTGTTACGGTTCACGTTTAATGTTAAATACATATATTAATACCAATGATGTGGTACTTTAGATTGCTATGAATGGTCTAAAATTATTTTGAGATGAGAGGGAATCGTTTCTGATTTTGGGGTCGCCATCATATATTCAAGGTAAAGGTTACCAAATAAAACAGAACATAGTTCCAAAATATATAATTAGGAAGATGTGGTATAACTGCAAATGAGGCAACTTTCCGTCAGAGAACAACTGACACATAAGTTAACAACCATAGTTATCATTACGGCCTTCAACAATTAAACACACATACAACATAGTTGTAAATTGCCCCGAAATGACTTGTGATTAACAATTCAAATGAGAAAACTTACAGCCTGATTTATTTTGAAAAACGATATGAACGAAAATAAAATGTGATATACAGCAACAAATGACAACCACTGAATTACAGACTTGGGACAGGCACATACAGAATGTGGCAGGATTAAACACGTTAGAGGACGCACAGTCCTGTCCAAAATCTGGGACAACGATGTAACAGTTCTACATATGAACAAATTATAAACTCAGTTGATACAGACTTAGCTCATCAGTTCACACAAAAACTGACAGATCGCGGTATTAATACATCACTACAACTAGAAATTAAGTACACATCTGAGAGAACTTGTATGTACTGATGACTAGTTCAAAGTCAATGACAACGTATAAAAACTTCATGTGCAGTTTGGTTCAGACCAAACATTACATAAAGTAAACGCACGTTAACGCTGCGTGCACATATTTCGTTAGTTAACTTAAATTTTCACGTTTACTAGTAAAAGCGGGTTTACTTTAATTACGTTAATGCGGTCAAAATGGAAATTTCTAATGTCTACCCGAGTAAACGCGCGTTTACTCTGTGTCTGTTCAATCAGTAGTAAACGGGCGTTTACTTCCGAGTTCACAAGTTTATTTTTACGTGCACTTAAAAGTGACACTCGTTTACTTTTTGCGTTAACTGATTGTGTTAATTATAAAATAATCAAACTTCGTGTATATTTGTACATTTATTTCATTTTGTAAAAACGACTTTTATCTTAATATTTTATGTATATATGTTTCGAACCAAACAATTCAAAAACACTTTTAATTCGAAATATTAATTAACTTTTATTAATTGTAAAAATATCAGGTCGAATAACTTTATAAGTAGCGGATTTTCTGTATTTTTTTTTCAAAAGTTACATGTACAACTAATATCAACTATCAAATGGCTATACAATTACTCTTCTGGTCGACAAATTCCAAGAAGAGAACTTCTCATACAATGTATCTAAGACTACATTATCAATCACATGAATCAGAACAAATCCAACAGCCAACGGATTTAGTATAAAGACGTCATAAACAGTCAGAGACCCCGTGTAATGCCAACAGCATCGCTTCTGAGTGCTCAATATAACAAAAAATAGCATTGCATTCAATCATGTCTACTGGGATGAATTGTCATAGGAAATGGGAGTATAATAAATATAGAGGTCACTATGTTTTCAGACAAGGTAAATAAAGACTGAAATTATGAAATTGGTTCCAGGATGTATTATTCCTTTTGATTTTCAAGTAATTTCGTGTACGGCTAAGGTCATACATACTTACTAAGGATACATAAGCATAACAAAATATCACTGATTAAAATCATAATTGACATTAGGGTGAGAGGTTTTTATGGCTTTTTAATTGACGATTCTTCATTTTTTTCAGGAAATGTAACCGATTTCATAATGCTTATAGAAACAAGATGGTATCAAGAGTTATGTAAATTTGAAAGCTATTTTGTCTAATAGAATCCGGACGATTATTTTGAACAAGGAATAAAGAAGACCCGACTATGGCATCTCTTTCTCTAGAGGAAGAAAACTATGTTCGAATGAGTTTGCTACTGACAGGAATCTCTCCACGTGCTGTAAGAACCAAATTTGATTACGAGTTTGCTCCAGCATGTTTAGATGCCTCATTGAAGAAAGAGTATGCCAAACTGTTTGACTTAAAAAAGGAGCACAGAATCAACCAGTCACAGTGGAACCTCTTGTTTCCAAGATTTCCTGGTAAGTGCTGAAATGATATCTGATATCCTATTGAAATGTTATCAAAACGCAATGGTACTGACTTGATATTTATATCTTTTAAGGTTTATCACTGATATACATTAAATAAAGTGCATATATCAGAACTTTCAAAATTTGTTCTAAAACTATCAATGACGTCATTGTTAAAATTAATTTTCAAAATTGAAATTATCTTCCTTTGTCCATAATTGAATCAACTAAAACCAATGCTTTATACAATGCAATGTTTTATTCTGTTTTTTACTGATGTGAGAAGGCAGATGTTACCCTTCAGTGCTTACAAGAACATGCATTAATGATTATTAGTAGTCAATAAAAAGCCATGTAGATAATCTTTTCATTTTCTAATCAAATCAAATCCTAGTGCAGAAAATTCACATATTCCATTTCTGTCAACCACCAATCATGTTACAATGCCTAAAACTATATTAAAAATAATCATCCTAGATATATATGAAATATTAAGTAAACAAAAATCAATTTATGCAATTATTTGTCTGCCATTATTCGAAAATCTACATACATTTTTATATTAGTATACATGCTAGATGCTTTCATTCATATATTTTTAAGACTCTAAGTAAAAAGATTTGGACCATGTTAACCTTATATATGATACTAATTTCAGCATTTTACTTCTTATCTTAAAAGCAATAAAATAAGAATAAGACCTTTACCTTCATCAGAAAGGCTCAAACTCCGAAACATTTAAATGGAAAGAAAATAAAAATCTTAAACACATTTGAGCTTAATGACCGAAATGGACCTATAAGATAGACAGAAACTGAGCATGAGCAATAGAAGATATACACATGCGGAAATGAAGATGTGACTACAATTAGTTTACTTCATGGAACCTTTTAAAAGATACACAAGTTTTTGTCAATTAACTTAACAAGAGTGTATACGTTGAAATGTCTTGCCTGCTTTACTTACCATGATTCATTGTATATTGATAGTCCTGATTATGAGTTTCACATAAATTTATCGTTATCAATAGGAATAAGGTCATATAGACCAAGTAAGACGGAATGTACACCTTACAATTATTCCATACGCCAAATATCGTTCACTTTTTGCTTCTACATGCAGTTTACAAGAAACAAAACAAACCACAAAACTTATATTGACCAAGAAACAATAAACATGGTCAGATGAATCTTGCCAGAGAGACATATGCATGTACACCTTACAATCATTTCGTGCACCAAATGTAGTCAACCATATTGCTTAAAGTACTGTGAATTTATTATAATTTTGGGTATCAACTTTCCTAGTTTGAGTAAAAATTACATGTTCGTTTTTTAAATCGTGGATTTATGTTTTATTTTAAAAAATCGGAAAAGAATTTGAAGTCTTCAAGATTTTTGAAAATAATAATTGAAACCAAAAGGAAGTTGTAGTATGATTGCTAATGAGACATCTGACTCTCCACATTAGACCCAATGACACAAAAATTAATGACTATAGGTCACTGTGTGGTATCCAACAGTGAGCAAAGCCAACTTCATAGTTACATTATCTATAAATGGCCCCGAAATGACAAATATAAAACAATTTAAACAAAAAAACTAAAGGCCTAATTTATGTACAAATTTATGAACGAAAAACAAATATGTTACACAGACAACCACTGAATTACACACTCCTGACTCTTTTTTTATTTTGTAATTTGTAGAGCATTCCAATATTAAGTGTTCATTTTGACTTACTTCAATTGTCTTTCATTACTGACAACATTCATCATTTTCAAAAGCATTTGCTTTTAAGGTCGTCGTGTAACTATCGTGCACAAATTTTTTACTCTACAATTCCTTCAACTTGCTTGACTTCTGTATTAAACATTAAGTTAATTTGACTTATCATATATTATTTCAATGAAAGTTTGATAGTATGCATATGAATAAGATCTCAGTTTTTTCAACTGTATGTTATAACAAAAAAGTTTAACACTTAATTGCTTCATAAATTTATTTAAACATTATACCATGTAATAAAGTCGATCACATAGATTCAAAAATGATTAGATTAAACATGCTTTTGAAATAAAAGGCAGTTATTCAAATTGCGTATGCTTAAACAAAATAGTGTGTGCCGGTAACATAGAAATGTATATAGAAATAGGCTATTTTGGCAGCTTGAATTAAGATATTTTAATCAGAACCATCATAATAGCCACTTGTTGCACATTTGTAATTGGGCCATAAACATTTTTTTCGCATGAGAAATATGAGGAGATAAATTGAACATTGCATTATCGTTTGTCGTCACCGGTATTGATACCCCCTGAATAAAAGTACTTTCACAGTATCTAAGAAACAGATTTGATTAAGATAATTTAACTTTGATCAATGCACTAAGAAAACGAAGTAAAGGTGTTTCATGAGTAAGAATTTTATCAATTGATAACCATACACTTATTCAGTAAAGTGTTTAAGGCAGTTTATTTGAAAGAGTTCACTTAATTGTTTTTATTATATATCTGTTTATCATTTGTGTTTACCCTTACTACATTTATTATCGTACGTATTTTCAGATGTACCAGATTCTAAAACATTTGATGTGACTCTGATGACAACATTACTGAGGAACTTGATTCCTATGACTTCGCCACTTTGTGGATTTGACCGTTTACCTGCTGCCATGGAAACCACACCAGCTGCAGATTTAGCAAGAATCAAATACTATAGGAATTACTTGGCTCATTTGGATGATGGCAAAATAGATATTACTTTCTTCAACACTGCATGGGATGATATAACTAATGTATGTATACTTCATTTTGTTCTTCACAAATTTTATGTAATTTGAAACAAAGTAAACCAAATTCAAATTATTTGTTGTTGTCTTTATTTTATGTGTCCTTGTTCACGTTGTTGCCAGTCTGTATTCAACTTGTAAGATTGAGCATCAAATCTTTGAAAAACTTTATTTCAAACGTCTATTTTTATTTTTCCTTTTGTACCTAGAATGAGCATTATATTTTTTTTTCCTTGTTGATAATTTGCAGATGTTCCTATTGCTGTATTCATTAATGCATATAAGTACAATGCTCGATGATAGAGACCGTCCTGACATTGTATCTATCGAATTTATTTTTTAACAACATTTGCAACTTAAAGTATATATTAAATAACAGAACAGTAGATCGTTAGAAAATAATGCATCTCATGAACAATTAATTCTGTGTTTTGTTCTTGTTGTGTTCATGTATTAGTTTGCACCTGTCCTAATTTTGGAATCTGATGTTCAGTGGTTGTCGTTTGTTAATGTGATTCGTAAGTGTTTTTCGTTTCTTGGTATTTATATAGATTAGACCGTCGGTTTTCCCGTTCGAATGGCTTAACACTAGTAATTTTTGAGGCCCTTTACAGCTTGCTGTTCGGTGTGAGCCAATGCTCGGTATTGAATACCGTACTTTGACCTATATTGGTTTTCTTTTATAAATTGTGACTTGGATGGAGAGTTGACTCATTGGCACTCATACCACATCTTCTTATATCTACATTGTATTTTCAACATAGAAGCATTGACGGTTTGATTTCTGTCAGATTTGTGTCCCCTCACTTATACTAGTATATCACTGGAAAAAAAATTTTGCTTCGTTTTATTTTACTAAAAGTAAACAAAGTTTCTCAAAAAAATATTTTTAGTGCAGCAGTTTTTATAACTCTCTGTTCTCATTGAACATTTTTAAATTGTGAAAGAAGCTGAATTATATAGTTCACAATTATAATCATGTTTTTCAAAGATAAATGGATTTTTTTTAAGTGTATGGCTGATTGTGCCCCACCTTGTTTATAAAAAGTAAAATCACAAAAATACTGAACTCCGAGGAAAATTTAAAACGGAAGTTTCCTAATCAAATGGCAGAATCAAAATCTCAAACACATCAAACGAATAGATAACAACTGTCATGTGCCTGACCCAGTAGTCAGCACTTCGGTGTTGACATGAATATCAATAATATGGTCATGTTTATAAATCTACTGTTTGCAAAAGTATGAATTATTCGAAATACTAAGGATTTTCTTATCCCAGGCATAGATTATCTTAGCCGTATTTGGTACAACTTTTTGGAATGTTGGGTCCTCAATGCTCTTCAACTTTGTACTTGTTTGGCTTTCTAATTATTTTGATCTGCGTCATTGAATTGTCTTATGTAGACGAAATTCGCGTCTGGCGTATTAAATTATAAACCTGGTACCTTTGCTAACTATTTACACCACTCGGTCGATGCCACTGCTGGTGGCCATTTCGTTCCCGGAGTATCACCAGCCCAGTGGTCAGCACTTCGGTGTTGACATGAATATCAATCATATGGTCATTTTTATTAATTTACTGTTTGCGAAAGTATGAATTATTCGAAATACTAAGGATTTCTTATCCCAGGCATAGATTACCTTAGCCGTATTTGGCCCAACTTTTTGAAATTTTAGGCCTTCAATGCTCTTTAACTTTGTACTTGTTTGGCCTTCTAATTATTTTGATCTGAGCGTCACTGATGAGTCTTATGTAGACGAAATTCGCGTCTGGCGTATTAAATTATAAACCTGGTACCTTTGCTAACTATTTACACCACTGGGTCGATGCCACTGCTTGTGGCCATTTTGTTCCTGGAGTTTCACCAGCCCAGTAGTCAGCACTTCGGTGTTGACATGAATATCAATAATATGGTCATTTTTATATATTTACTGTTTGCGAAAGTATGAATTATTCGAAATACTAAGGATTTCTTATCCCAGGCATAGATTACCTTAGCCGTATTTGGCACAACTTTTTGGAATTTTGGGTCCTCAATGCTCTTTAACTTTGTACTTGTTTGGCTTTCTAATTATTTTGATCTGAGCGTCACTGATGAGTCTTATGTAGTCGAAACACGCGTCTGGCGTATTAAATTATAAGCCTGGTGCCTTTGATAACTATTGGCACAGGCATTTTCATATAGGTTAGTCCCTTCTGAACCTGCAAGTTTGATTCAAATCATCAAGAATTCAAAAAAGGGAATATCTCATACAATTAATGCAATAGTATGATAATGATATATTCGCAACATGTATTATTGCGATTTCAAAAACATGCAGATTTTAGAATACGAGTTCTTACTATTGCGATACTCCGCCTGTCGCATTTTGCATTAGTAAAAACCTCGCAACATTTGTTTTAGTTTACAGTATTATGTACATACAACTATAGATTAATAGTGAAGTTTCATCGTATATTTCACAGGCAATAGAAAGATTATGTGGACAGCAAATGAAACAGGAATGTGTTCATATGAAAACCAAACCTTTAGATCAAACCAACCAAGAAATTATGATGGACATCAAGCATTCTAATAATGAAATACGGGAGCTCAAAGAATCAATTGAAAGTCTGAAGCGATCACACACTGAAATGATACAATCTCATGAAGTTGTAGCAAAAGAAATGGAAGAAATAAAATTATCACAGAAGGATACAGTTCCTTTGAATATAAGAGGTAACAGTTGGTTTTAAGTGACATAGGGTCATCTACTCCTTCAATGTTTTAAGAGATCAGATTTTAAATTTATTTCTTGGAATTAGATTAACCATCCCTCGAAATTCGAAAAATGCGAGACATATGGAATACAAGTACGCATCGACAGCGTGAAGTATGTGTATAAAGCTATATATTTTCAGATGGTAGAAAACATGGATGATTCATACATTGTATAAATATATCTTATGTTATGAAGTTTTTGTCTATCATACGTCCGTTGCTTGACCTCATTTCATGGTTATATTATTAAATATTTTTCTTTATCATGTGAAATAATACTCACTTATTTAGGAATATGACAGTTGTTATCCACTCGTTTGATGTGATTAAGCTTTTGATTTTGCTATTTGCTTAGGGACAATCCGTTTAGAATTTTCCTCGGAGTTCGGTATTTTTTGTTATTTTACTTTTATTACGAGTACGTTAGAATAACAACATTTGGTATATCACTTCCTCAAAAGAATGTTAATGGTTAATAAAGAAGGCGAGACTTACCAGCGTGTGGACTCTTGTTGTTGGGTTTTTGTTTTTTTTTCTTATCTATTTGACAGGTGTACATGTATTTCCAGTGTGGTGTATCTGACCTTGTCCTCATTTTCTTGGATCATGTTAAGTTTATATGATAGTTGTAGTAAAGCTTTATGTTTTGGACTATCAACATAATGTCAATGGTTAGTAAAGAAGGCGAGACATTTCAGCATGTGCACTCTTGTTGGTTTATTTTTTTATTTATATAAATATATATATATCTATTTGCAGTAATTATATAAGTTAGAGAGAAAATGTGTAAAGCAAATATGTTAAGCAAGATAAGATACATAAATAAGTCAAGTTGGCTAAATTATCAATTGACTGTCTAGCTTGTTTTTTCTGACCTGTGTATGTGATACTTGTATTGAAACTTAGACTACATGTATCAATATTAAATCATTCAATGACAACAGTCAGTAAAGTAGGCAAGAACTTTTTGCGTGTGCAATTTTTGTCAATTTATTGGTTTTTGTCGACTCTGCAACATTTATGTCGCGAAAGCGAGACATAGCGATCCTATATTTGTGGGAGTTGGGGGCTTCAACTTTCAGATTCAGACTGTGGTTAAAGTTTTTTAGACCCGATAACTTTTTCAAACCTTCATGGAATTTATGAAATGTGGCAGAAGCTTGTTTATTACCAAAATACAGTATCCAGAGCAAAATTTTGAAAAAATATTTATATTCATTTTTCCGTATTTTACTGATTAATGGACTTTTTTCTATCTTACAGTAAACATTCATATTCAGTCTGAGGTTAAAGTTTTCCAGTCATCAATAACTTTGACAAACCGTCATAAAGTTAAATTAATATACAAATAAGTCACCCGACATTGTTATGCATATTGTAATATTGAAATTTTATCACTTGAGTTATATAGGTTTTTTTTTGTTTGTTTTTGTTTTTTTATATACTGTTTTGTTTTATTTTGTTCTTTGTTGTTTGTTTCAACTTGTATAGCCACAAACACTGTAAATATTTAATTTTCGGCAATGTTGACTTATTTGTATATCATTCATATTATGTTTAAGGCATATGCTTAAGAAACAAGGGCGCATAATTATTCAGCCAATTACAATGCGTTGCCTATAATAGGCATTCACTATTAGCGGGAAAATCACTATCATCATGAAATCAGTTACGCGAATTAGAAAGTATTCGCAATGGAAAAGAATAAATTTTATATGCAGGCACAAGAAATCTACTGCAATGTCATAAAATTGGAGGTACACTAAGACTGTTTACTTTTATATTATCAATAAATTCGAAGATGACAGTCACCCGTATAGTGTTTTGAAGTACTACAGGAATAGCTGCACAACAATGTTGCATTAGAAAATAACAATACTTGTATCGTAACTTAGAGCTTAAAAGGGAAATGCGATTTCTAACAACAACGCTTTCTCTTTCTAGCTAATAAATGAGCACATAGTCCGCAGTTGTGTCTGTTGAAATCGACTATGTACTACTTCAAGAAATTTATATCGAGATAGCATGAAAAGGAAATCCACAGTAAATTGTTTTCTATGAACATTTGTTTTACCTAGTAAATTGTCTATGTTTTTTATCACTATCCATTTTATGCTAACTTAACCAATAATTGAATGATTTCACTTCGTTTTTATCGAATTACACATTTAGTTTAGGGAGTTATTTGAAAATTTTCAGGGAGTTCCATGGAAACCTTTGTCTTGCCTTCGAATGCTGCTGTCAATATAAAAGTGTAATGTTTACATAAAAAGTACATTGTTAATGTGGTGGGGTTAAACGTGCTTGAAGGCGCCACTCTACCCTAAACTGGGACAGGGTTTCCGTATGAAGAGTAATAGGCTGTACAAATATACATATCATTTTTTTAATTTTTTTATTGCTTAGTCCTTTGATTTATGGCAATGTCTTGTTTTGTCCCAACAGTATTGCGAATTGGGATCAATATCAGTAACAGTTTATTCTGTATTATTCTAAAGTCAGCAAGTGTGCTGCATAATGCTAAATTTTCTTGTATAGTTGTATCTATTGTATCGTTTTTTTTTTTGTACTGATCATATTACATTTCTTACATTTTGTTTGATAGTTACTTATAAATTTTGAGTTAATAGCCCAAACATTTAGTTTGGATGGGAAAAAAGTAGTATAAACTGACCAAACTTAAGGACCTATTAATGAAGACATGGAGGTGCAAGGTCTCCTTTGATATGATACTTATCCTTGAGTGTCAGGAGGTTATTTATTGTTCGAATGCACATCTGGTGCAGTACAATCTATGTTATTAATGGAGACAAGATGCTACAAATGTAACAAAAGTAAATGGGATTTTAACTGTATGATTGATATTAATTAAGTTGAAATCACAAAATAAATTAATCGCCTAAATCTAACTAAGATAAACATGTCAAACATTACTAATCAATCGCTTGCATTTAACTGATAAACTGCATCATTTGACTAAGTCTAACGAACCTAGCGGTCAAACTCTGTTATATCAGACCTGCTTGTTTTGTGAATATTCTTAAAATTAAGATTTTATTTTATTCATTGTTTATACATTAAAACATTGTTTTTCTTCTCACAATAAATACCGATAAATAACTAACAGAATATTTGAAATATAGTCCAATCTTGTGAGTGATATCATTATATTTTGAAGATAAAATTGTAAAAGGTACAGTTTTTTTCTCAAATAACGTGAGTACGTTAGGCAAGGAAAATTTTTGCGTTCGTATCATTTTATTGCGATGTCTGCGCCGTTGTCCGAGGACATTTGGTTTAATAACTTGAGTATAAGTGTATGGATAACCTTTAAATTGTAGCACAAGGTTCCATACCACCCTAGGAAGGTTGGGGTTGCTTTTTGGGTGTATTGTTCTAGCTGTTGAAAAAGGGGCCAAACACAAGCATTTTTCTTGGTTCAAGACAATGACTTGTGCTAAAGTGTATGGATCTCTATGAAATAAGCACAAGGTTCCATACTTCAAAAGAAAAGTTAGGATTGATTTTGGGAATTATGGCCCAAACAGTTAGGGAATAAGGGGCCAACAAACTTAGATTTTTCTGGTATCTAGACAATAATTGAGTATAAGTCATTGGATCTCTATGAAATTGTACCACATGATTTCATACCTCAAAAGGAAGTTTGGGATTGATTATGGGGGTTATGGCTCAAAATAGTTAGGAATTAGGAGCAAAAAAAAAGAGCAAAAAAATACTAGGAATTTCTGGTTTTTGGACAATAACTTGAGTATAGGTCTATGTATCTCTATAAAATTGTACTATAAGGTTCCATACCATAAAAGGAAGGTTTGAATTCTTGAGGTTCTGGAGGATTTGGAATTTGGGTCCTGTTTTTGAATTGGTCCATATTAAGGTCCAAAGGGTCTAAAATTAAATTTTGTTTGATATCATAAAAAACTAAATTATTGGTGTTCTTGGATATGCTGAACCTAACCGTGTATTTATTTTTTTTTCAATTTTAGGGACCGTTTTCAAGTTGGTCAAAATCAGGGTCCAAAAATTAAACTGTTTAATTTCATCAAAAACTGAATATATGGGGGTTTTTTTATATGCTTTATCCAACCGTGTACTTAGATTTTTGATTTTGGACCCTGTTTTCAATTTGATCAACATTGTGGTCCAAAGGGTCTAAAATTAAAATTTGTTTAATTGTAAGAAAAAAAATAAGGAATTTCAGGGGTTCTTTGATATGATGAATCTAAAGATGTATTTAGATTTTTGATTTTGGGCCCAGTTTTCAAGTTGCTCCAAATGGGGTCCAAAATTAAACTTCGAGTGATTTCCACAAAAATTAATATATGGGGTTCTTTGATGTGCTGAATCTAACCATGTATTTAGATTTTGGATTTTTGGCCCCGTTTTCAAATTGGTGCACATTGAGGTCCAAAGGGTCTAAAATTAAATTTTGTTTGATTTCAGCAAAAATTAAATTCTTGAGGTTCTCTAATCTAATTTTAGAGAAGAATTTATGAATACACATATGTATTACGTAAAATTTACTGTTAATTATTAGATATTTAAAAAAATAATCAAAGCTAAGTTTTATATATTTTTTTAAAGACAATAATGAGGAAAGATATTTTGAAAACTATTTTGTGTCATTTTTTTGGTTAATTGTTTTGAAGAACTTCATCCTCATGTTCATAGTAGGTTTGTTTTTTGTTCTGTATAAGTTTTTTTTTAGAATGCTATATATGCATATATATATATATATATATATATATATATATATAACCAGTCTAAAAGGGTACAACATCACCAAAAAATGACAATAAACGAACAAATGTAACTATAAATATATTTTGGATAACAGACATCCTTCATCAGTATGAGCACGATGTAAAATGAATCAGAACAATCTATTCTGATTATTAAAAAATTGAAAACAACACGTTTAATAATTTCATGCGTCCGAA